GTTCCTGAACAGAAATGGGTTGGGTCTTTTTCACTTAAGATTGTCTTTCCCGCTTTTTGAGTGTGGCAGCCTGAAGAGTTTCTCTCTGAATGTGACTGATATCTTTCTAGCGTCACCAATGTTGCTGGCGTTCCAGGAGAAAAAATAAATTGCTTTTGGCAACAGACTGAGCCAAGAGTGTCCTGAAGGAAAATTAGCACTTGAATTTCATAATTTATCTTTTCCAAGAGGCTGCACCAAAGAAGTTTATCACTCATTAATCTTCACGTACAGTGAGATGAAAGTTGCATTTTGGGAAGGTGAGATGCAGCAAAAAGGTTTCGGTTTCCACTTCTTTTTGCAATTTTTTTCTAAACACCACATTTGCATGGACAAATTCATTCCAGGAATTTTTTCATCAACAGCTTTAAAGGCAGTTCATGTTGAGAAGAATAAATCAAAGAATGGTTCTGAAAAATGATGGTTCACAGTGTCTTGGTGGTGTGCGCTTGATTGAGATTCACACCTACACAGTGACAATTTTAACCTGTTTCAATTTGTCAAAGATGGTGATAAAAATGCTAATTTTGACCCATCTGAAGGAGAAGACTCTCCCTTCCAGCTGGGGCAAGGTTACACTTCCTATTGGAGACCTGTTCACGTTTTAAGTTCATTGTTCCTTTGGAGTCCTGAAAAACTAACATACTGATTGCTGATGAGTAGTCATGGAAACAAAATAGACAAAACAATGAAAATGAACTACTTAAAAGCTTTGAATTTCGGGCCATATCTCAGTTATATCTGCTCATTTGTCATCAGTTTTTCAAATAATGAGTAGCTAGTAATTTCTAAACTTTCTCCAGCTCTGGGGGTTAAAGTGAGGCTAAGGAATCCACATCTCCTTGCATCGTGATGCAAATGCAAGTTTGGGTCACAAATCTCAGTAGGATGAATGATGAGTTTGCTGCTAAAGCTTGAAGACATGCACTGTTCATCATCTCAAATCTCCTAGAGCTATGCTCAAATCATAAGCAGAAATAAGAAACTTATACTGCAAACAATTATGAAAAACACAGCAAGGAGTCTCCACGTAGAGGACACCTGATCCTTTCACCTCACAGCAACTGGACTGCACCTTAGCCTGAACAGTGCCACAAGAAGAAGGAAAAAAACTGTTGTCATGATTGGAAAAGGATTTGATATTGGAATCACCCTTAGACATAGATCACAAATGGACAAAAAGGAAGGTGATAGTTTAGTCCCTACAGATTACCAGTGGGATGAGAAAACTGATTTACAGTGCCTGGTCATGAAAGCGTAGAGAGCTGAGAGAAGAATGTAATTTATTAGAAATATTTATTGCACACGTTTTATACCGCTCGACCTGCAATGACTGCATGCATGAAGCAGCAGGGCAATGCCCTCTAAAGTTTCAGGAAGCAGGTTATGATCTCTTCAGCTTGTAGCACAAGTGGTGGCAATTCTCGACCAATCGCTGACAACAGAGCTGGTCAAGTGATGATGGTCACTGACAGTTCTGAATGAAGCAGTGGCAGATGGTCTTCAGCTAATATTGCCTCTGGCTGGGCTCAGGCTGACCTCATCCAGACATGTGCTTTGCAGTGTCCAGATATGGTCCAAGCAAGCACTAAACATGTAACATCCGATTCCTCTGAAGACATGACACAAAGTAATGATTATGCAAAGAGTGGGTGAGTGTCACTATTATCATAGGTCCCATGCCTGAGGTATCCCTAACATTTCTGGATCTTCTTACACCCTGAGGTGATGGCCCACAAGAAACACAACTATTCCTGTCATCCATTTGATTTAACCACTGGCCTGGTGCTATGCTGTTAAATCTCAGTTGAGTTGGTTGTTATCTGTGCATCTCTAAGTAGGTGGATGGTCAGTGCAAAGTCAGCTTGTGCATTATGCCACTGTGAGTCATGACAAAATTTCAATCATGTACTCTCTCTTTCAAAACACCTGAGACAGACAGTTTTTCCTGCTGCTGTGCTTATCAACTTGGCTTTTTAAATGAAATCACAGTGTTTAACTTAAAACCTGTGATTCAAGTTTTCTGCAATGCAATCTTTTACTGCAATGCAATCTTTTACTGTTTTGAGTCCAGGAAAGTGGCAGAGTTTAGGAGCCCCCCCCAAAAAGAGGGCCTTTTTTCGGGGGGGGGGCATAAATTTTTGTTTCTGTAAGATCTTTTAGGGGGGGACCCTGAATGGCAGCACATAATATGAAGTCTTCATGCCAACTAAAAAAAAGAAAATGAAACTGCAACTGCACCTTTTTCCAAGCGGATGGAAATTCCTACATGAAAAATCGTCACAATATGCACTGTCGGTGTCAGAAAGTCATCCCTAAGCTCATTAAAAAAAGCTACGCTCTGTACATTCTGAACAAAAAGAACACAGACCACGGTCACGGGATGATTATCATCAGGTGAACACTTGTAAATTGATAACTCTCGTCTTCAGGAGGAAGCCTACCCTCGAGTAACCTTGCAGCTCGATACAGTCAGACAAGAAAATGGACGAGAGGAACCTGGCTTTTACTATACCCAATCAGTTGCTTTCACTATGAAGGCGGTGCCTGCCTTGCGGGGGGGGGGGATGAACCAAAGAATGGTAATCAGTTGAGAAAATATATCATCCCTTTTCAGGATCTCCTCTTTTTCAAGGGGAGGGGGCAGAGGAATGAGATTGGGAGTAGTTCACTGGAGGGTAATGCAAACCTAGTGCAAAGAAATTACCCTCCCTGGATCTTTCTCCAGGGAGACAGGTAAGGAAACGAAGGAACAATTCTTGATGTATTGGATGGCCAAGTCAAAGTACTGGGCAAATCTACATGTTGTAAGGCAAGTCTCAGATTGTCAGACTGGCACAAAAGCTTTGACATCCAGAGCCGTCCATGACCTGTTGAACATGCTCCAGGCAAAGACGACTTACAAAAATGAAGACACCCCACAATGGCCAGAGATGGAACTTTGAGCTAACTTCCCTACAGAAATGAGATGATTAAAACCCAGATAGTGGATGACCTCAATCCACTGATCAGACAAAAGTCCTATACAAGAGAATAGAATTTCCAGATGATAATAATGGTCAGGGAAGGCAGTGATTTACAACAGTTCTAAGAATTTCAAATCTGGAAGAATCATTACGATTCGGTGATGGGTAACAAAAATGGATTCATTTAACTTTCTGGGGGCATGTCAATTAACAAACAAGAGCATTTGCCAAAGATTAATAACACTGCACTGTGATGATCATAAATGAATTCAAGCAGCAACAGTAAACAGAAATCGCAAGGCTCTAACTTTTGGTAAGATTTCACGACTATGCTGAAATTTCTTCAGCCACCTTTAAGTTGCAGCACTGAATAAAAAATCAATCTGACTAGGACTTTATTGCTGTGCATGATTTATGGACGGCATTAAACGCTCTGGCCAGGTAAGCAATGCTGCAATGAAACAACTGATGACTATGGCCACCGGAGGCCAATTCATGAATGCTGAACATCCAACCTACACAGAGCGTGACCGTCAACAACTACTGCAATGTTCTGATAGATTGCCAATTAAAACAAGGCCGCTGAGAGCAAATGATAAATCTAAATAAAAAAAAAGGTTCATGCCGCCGCCCGACAATACCACAGTTGACTGCCACCTGAAATTGCATCAATGGTTGTGGTAAGCATGTGTGTGTTTAATGAATGCCAACCTAGCAAACAAAGTTGTAAATAACTTGGATCTACCCAATCCCTGTCACCTATTGCACACTTATTACTTTCTGAGCATACAGTGATGAATTTAGTAACATCGCTAGGAAAACCATCCCTAGTGAGTTTGTGAAAGACCACTGTTGATAATGAAACATTGGACTTGATCATGGGGTACTAGTTTGCAAATGATATCTACAAGCTGACAGCATGCACTCTTAAAGTACTCTTTTGATGTATGAAATTATAGCATGGGTAACCCCATCACAGGGAAAAAGATGATGTGTCAATGCACCATTGTCATACTTGTGCTCATATTGATACATATTTCCAACTTAGTTAACTGTGTACATATACATGTAGATGCATATTTTTATGAATAAAAATGAACTCATACTTGAGTCTGCAAGAAACAATATATGTGCACCAAAATGCTTGTTCTTGTGCTCATGAAAAAATAGACACGTCATCGTGCAATGTTTTACTCGTTTGTTTATTTGGAGAGTTTGCTGGAGAGGACAATTAGTTGTCAGCATGCCCTGTCTCTGTGGATTTTTAAGTCAAGAGACAGCACATCTCATGCTTTCTTGCCTTGAGGAGCCACATGGCCACTTGCATGATGTAGGGCTGAGAAACACATAAACCTGGCCAATCAAACTATGAGGGGAGTGAACAGCCACCACAGCACAAAGGTGACAATGAAATCTTGGTGGCTCTTACCTGTATTCATTCATTTGACTAGCTGTAATAGCAACCTAAACTAAATCCACTCCAAGTGTTCACTGTCTACAAGGTACCAGTACATCAGTTTTAGGTACCTGGGATCTTGTGCTGCTTCAGTTTTCAGGCCTGTAGCCTCTTTGTGGTCAATGGCCTGACTGGCCTGGGACCTATGGCACCAGGTTCGTGATCTTCGGCCTTCAACGTGTACATGTAGTCACAGACATGTGGCCTGAAAACTCTGGCCTGTCTGAGAGTTTGGGCCTCAGGCTTTGAAAATGGGTTCCTGGACCTAAATTTACATGTAGTATATGGCTAAGCACACAGAATCATGGCTGTGAGGCTTATGCCTGGGGCCTACATGTAGTCTGAGGTCTTGGACCGGTGTATCAAAGTCATGCACCCTGGGCCCCGTACCATGAACATAATTTCAGGGATGTGCATCCTCATGAGGGTCTTTGGACAAAGAAGACTGGTATACAGACAGACGGCCTGACAGACAGACAGACAGACAGACAGACAGACAGACAGACAGACAGACAGACAGATATATGGTGGCTACCCACTTGACTAGTCCACTGGTGTTCTTCAAGACGCTGGCAGCATAGCTCTGACTGACACCTACAAGGCTTTTCCCATCCACCTCAATGATTTGATCATTCACGCTGATCCTGCAGCCAAAAGAGAAGGAACAAATTGGGACTAAACAAACTTTAAGTTAAAAGTGGATTCTTTTATTTTATTTGTAAGAAGACACAGAATTTACATATTCAACATTTTTGAACCACCGTGTAGATGTCAGCTTATCTGCGCATCTCCACGTTGTGGCTATCATCCAAAATTTTGATGCAGAAGTCTGACAATGAACTATGAAAAACCTACTTCGAATCTAGAAACTTTTGACCCATTAGTACTTGAAGCCTTTGTCTCTGACACTATCCACAGAGCCTTAGATGTTGTCCATGGATTGACTAGACGGTGTCATTTCCTTCTCCCTTTTCTGATAATTTACTTATACTTTACGTGTACAGCTTGTCTTCCCAAGCAGTAATATTCTTTGAAAAGGTCAGAGTTCATCTTCGCAACACTGTGACCTTTTCAGAGCCGTCTTCTTGCTCTCGCTTTCTTCCCAAGATTTTCTCCCCGGTAACTAGAGGCGAGTACTTTAAAATCCAATTTAGCTCTTCATCTGGGTCGTCCCTAGCCTCTCTCTGCACTTCGTGCTCTGGAGTGCAGAATACTGCTTGCTGGCGGACAAGCTGAATGTTCCTGGGCAGTTTGTTCAGTAATACCGTTATCATGACGCACCTGATAACCGTAATGAAAAGTGACAGCGGATCTATCTTATTTTACTACCCTATTTGATTAGATGAGGCTTAGATGACTTTCCAGACTTTTTCCTCTCATTTAAGGGAAAAAATACATGCTTGTTAATGTGGTATGTTTAATTTTTGTAATGGTGTGTTTGCATTATGGGCAGATTGCGGGGTTTATTTCATGAAGGGTCCGTCACATGACCAGGTTCCAGTACCATGAGAATACCAATGGTAATTCAGAATGAATGTATAATGAATTCTGAACAAGCTCACTTCTATGTACATTTTTTTTAAGAAGTGCACTTTTGAGTTCTTTTCAAATTTACCTACCTTCTTCAAGAGCAAATTAGAGGAAGGAACCAATTTGGAATCCCATTCCAACATGGCAATTCTGGTTGGACATTATTGAACCAGTTTACAAAAAAGACAAATTTCCCCAGAGACAGGAGGGTAGGCTGCAATTTCTTAATTCCATTCGGAGATCTTTTGTGTGGCTGTAGCCACAAGCCACTAACTGTACTTCCAGACTTCAATTGGTTGACCCTGCCGTCTAAAATTCAAAATTAACTGCAGCTTGCGCCTCTCCTCTCAGCATTTGCGGTCAACCAGTGAAACAGACTAGGGAGCAAAGGATAATCAACAGCAGTGCTGATGGGACTTCACAAAATCTTGATCTGGGAGCCGAAGTGTCTGTACGCCCTACAAGAGGGGGTCCTAAAGAGGAAAACCGCAAGACAACGATACCTCAGCAATATCGTCCTATCACAGGGAGGTTAAGGCACTCAGTGGAACATAAGAATTCTATCGGGGTACACATATATCATCTGACTGGACGGTTACACTTCACACTCTGACCAATATCCGGGTGGAAACCACTCACTAGTAAAGTGGGAGCTTTCTATCTACACTCAGAAGTTGATTCCTTCTTAACACCCAGTGCTAATTGATTATTCTAAATAGGTGAGTCAAACGCCTGGTCCGTTTATTGCTCAGGTGAAGAGAAAAGGCTAGTACGTACGTCGCTGTCAGGATGGCTTGACTATTCTGGTCAAAATCACCCTTCAAAACTAGCACACAAACTATGTTTTAGTCAAATTGGTTTCTATGCATCACATCACTCTTCCAGTTTTTTTTTTCAGAGGGGTATTTGGGTCTTTCTCTGTGGTATAAGCCTCTTCATCAACACATCCCAAAGTCTTACTGATTGAATATTGTATTGCTTTCCAAGTTAAAGTGCACGTATAAACATATTGGCTATACGAGCTTTTCAACAAATCTCTTGGAGCCAAGTGCCATCCCAGTACCCTTATCAAACTGACAGGTATCTGGGTCAGCCATCTACATTCAGAAGTACACGACTCCAGACTGCACTGACTGAGTTCGCTGCCTGGCAGATGAGCTATCACACTTGAATAAGAAGAAGCACGCCGGCGAGGGGGGGAAAGTGAGAAAGAGAGGCGGACAGGCTCGGCACTCCAGACAAATTAAGGGTATAGCTGAGTGAGCGGACCACATGACACGCTGAACTACGACGAGCCAATAGGGGAGTTACTTCACACGGCAGGCTTGCCGGTACCTTGGGGCATCACAGACCATGAAGAAAAGGATCGGCAGGATTCTGACAGATTGAGATTCCCATGAATACCTGAGTAGGGTAAAATTCCTTTGATGTCTGCAAAGGTGTATAATTTGGACAGGGTTGGAAGGAGGGGGGAGGGTGAACAAAGTGGACAGACAGCACTAATGTGGCAGTAATGCATATCAAAGTGAAAAGATAAATAGATTTTACAGGGGCTCGATCTCAAATCAATCACATCTTACTCCCTGAGTGTTAGATGATGCCACTCGCCTGAATCAAAAAGCTTCACGCTTTACCACCACCTAAAAGGGAAGAAATCACTACATGGATTTCTGGTAAGTAGAATTTTCATGCTTAGCATAAAGCAGTTATCGGGAAACTATTGGTAAGATTCAACAGCTTCGTCCAACAGAATGCAATGGTTTACTTCAGCTTTAAGACACATCCGTGCCATTTTTCCTATTTTTTAGCTGAAAGGGCAGGTGTAATAAAATTAAATCAGACTGCATAATTCATAAATACAATTTGATTTGTTGAAATGGTAGACATGCCATCATTTAACTGTATGGGATACTCGAGACAACCAGTGTGCTAAGGGCAACATTCACACACACTGCTACCGGTATAGCTCATGCATGACCAGTTTTCATCTACCGGTAGATCAACGCAAAAAGTACGTGCACACTAGATTAATGATGCTCGGGTAATCTTTAAGTTACTTGTCACTCATTTATGCAGTGGGGGAGCTTACTTGCACCTCAGCAAGGACCTGTGTTCTTGTCAAATCACTCAATTCTACCAAAACAAAAAGCTATCTTTCTTTTCTCATCACTGTCTGCATTCTTACCTCCCATCTCGATGAGCTGCACCATTTTGAGTGATGGTCTTGACGAAGATACCAAGTTTCTCCAGTCCTGCGTCTGCACCCACCCCCATGCCGATAATGCTAAGGCCCAAGCCATCATCGCCTGCAAATGAAACATGGCCAAACCGTTCAGTCATTTGGGACGATCTCATCTTCAACCAACAATTTTCCAACTCTACAGGACTTTGTTATCTGTTCTAGAATTAATAAAACCCATGGCCCAGATACAATGGCTCATGAAATGTGCATCTAGTTCAAAAGCTTTGCTGACCTAGCTTTGAATCTAAAGGCTTCAATTGAACAGGCATCTTATTAATGAAATTTCCCCAAATTAAATTACAATGGGACATTTTTATGAGTTCCTGCTTTTAATTGTCGCCACCTGTGATCTATAAAACCAACTGCAGCTTGTTTCAATGTTCTTTTTCAACAACGCACATTGTTTCTGGCTTAAAGCCTAACCATCTCAACTAGCTTTGGGATGGCATAAGCTGCTCGAGTTTTGTATGTCAACTGATTTGTGTTTGAATAAATTCAATTGGAATCAATCCCAACGCAATCAGATGGCTGTCACCAGAGTTTTGACATTTCAGTTTGTGGCCTTCAATAATGGAAATCAAATAGCAAGGTTGGTTAATTTCGCCCACAATGATCCTGCATTTACTGAGATGTCAAATGAGAAATAAACAATGAGTCTGGCAGATTAAGAATGTATGTGAAAAAAAACCTATGGCATGTGCAATATGTCCTGAAGGCTCATTGGTCAGATTTGAAGTACATGTATCAACCATCAGTAGGAAGCTACAAGGAGGCTGCAAGTATGTGATTTCAGTAAATCCAAAGGTATTGAATCAGTCCTGTCCATTCCAACACAATGGTTAACAAGTGTAAATACAAGGTTTCTATAAAATTGTAATACACTAGTCAAAAAAATTAAGGACCCCTTTTTCCCTAACTTGTATTTTTTTTCTCAAGCATTGAGTGGAGTCTAGTCCTTATATTTCTTGTTTGTCTAGATGGCGTTCTCATTGCAATAAAAATTTTAAAAATGTCTCAAAAATTCAAATGGACATTTTCTCAAGATGGACAATTTCTGGGAAAAGTCAAATGACAGAATAGAAAGTGGTCCTCAACTTTTTTGAGTAGTATATTGCACAGCTTGTGCTTTGGTGTCATGTGCTTAAACACAAACTTTTTGGGTCATTTGGCACGTTCTGCCTAGCTGATGTATCAATTAATATCATCAGTTCAATATGGTAGAGGCAATGGGATTGACTAAGGGTGAGAGATCATTATCCAAAGCAGCTAGGAATGGGACACAGTAGGGATTGTGGATAGTCTGGGTACGGACCATCCCCGAGCCTGGCAATAACAGTTGGATTATTACCCCTGGTGTTCAATGTTTCTCCTTGGCAGGGTGTACAATATTAAGGTGGTCTGACTGCCAGAGAGAGTGGAGTGTTGGGGTCAATTTATTTGGAAAAATGATTTGAAATTTCGCATGATGATGGTGTAAATAGACTGGGCGTGTGGAGACACTTGTGTTGGCAAAGCACTCTGCTGAAGGACTGGAAGTTGATGATATGATGTTCAGTAATCAATAACTTTTGACTCGTAAAAATGCTTTTCCCGGCCTTAAAATTGATTGAATTCAGTATCTCTGTTTACCTGAGTAAGGATGTGACAACTGCTTTAAAAAAATTAAAATGGCAACTTACACCTTAACTAAATGGCAATTTTGCTTGAGTGCAGCAAATATCAGAACCTAATACTACACTGTTCTGATGAAGACTCAAAGGATTATTCACAAAAGACACATTGACATCAGACACTTCCAAATCTGACAGAATACTGAACAGACATGCCTTACAAAGAAGACACAATAGGCAACAATTTCTTGATATACTGTACGTGAACCTGTTCAGAACTTTAGCTATTTTTCGTTTCTGTCAGCACCTTTGTCTGCTTACCAGTACAGTAACATGGCAAGTGGAAATTTACACACCCACTGTCAACATTTTTGATACCGGGTAGGTACTTCAATGGCACAATGTTTACTGCTGGTTAACCGATGCTATGGACTTGGATCAAGACAGCAAATTCCCCTTTGCACGACTGACTAGTTGACCAATAAAATCATCAAAAGTACCTAGCCAGTGATCACATGGCTTGTTTTAGTCAAAGACAACTTTACAATATGCCATAAAGGTCGTGCACAAAAAACTGTTTAAGAACTTTAAGTAGTCAAATTACACGAACACTATCTGCATAAACCAATAATACTTCCCTAACTTCCTGCTGCAATTTATCCACGCCTAGATAACCTCAGGGCAAATTTTTAGAAAGTTTCTCCAAGAGCCTGCTTGTTTTGTTCGGCTACCCCTTCACCACTAACCTGAACCATCTACATGCCCTATGGAAGCAACTCAAAACACACGACCAAAGGAATCCTCTCTCAGTTTTTTGCAGCATACAAATTGGATTAAGCTTCCACTCATGCCTGGTCACTGATGAACCTATGACTGAAACATAATCCTGAAACACTGGCCTCTCATCACACATCTCAATACAATAATAGTGACGGAAAAATTTCCGGCCTCTGGTCTGGCATTCCAGATTTCTCCAGTCTAGCTGGGCTGTTCAGCCATACCGACCCTTGGACAGACTGGAGGCACGGCTAAGACACAGATTCAAGAATGAGACAAGGCATGGGTCAACCTTAATGCTGTATCAGGTGACAGGATTTGATCAAGTTAAGGAGGCTGAGGGCACACAATCTCTCCCATCGAAGTTGAACAAAGAGACATATTTGGCCTGGTGGAAATAACCTTGTGACAACGGTCAAATTAAATCCCAATTTTTACCCAACCTACAAGATATTATGCATTAAGTCATTTCTATTTAAAATGGGTAAATATATTTAAACATAATAAAATTGTAAATTTTTCAGTAATCCAAGAGTGAACATTGTTCAAATCACATCACTTTACATAAGTACATAAGGATAAGTACATTTCAGAAGAAAAATCTTAGAATTAAAATGCAAATCAATCATCAGTCCAATAATGCTTTAAGGCCTGAAAGGGTTCACTTTCAGAATGTGTACAAACTAGACAAATTACATGCTTTCAGAGCACATTTGAATTCCTATGATTGGATCCAATTACATTCTTTATTACGATTCTCCTCTCACTTGTTAAAAAACCCTCCATGACAGAAGCCTACGAAACCAACACATAAAAACAAAAAAAACCCAGGCAAAAACTTGGTGGCCAAATCCCTGGTTGCAAAGTTTGACTCGAGCAGTATAAAACTGACATTATGAAGAAAGCAGCTACAATAAATCGACCGCGGTCCAACTCTATCAACACTGAATGTGTCAAGAGAGTGAAAGCAAAGTTTGATGCAAAGATAGCATGCAATGAATTCAAGATTTAGGCTCCCTAGACACTCAGGAATTCCAGTGGGAACAGCTGGGTAAGTGAATTTAAAATGCAACGAACTTTGTCTCTGGAGCCGGTCTTGAAAACATGTTGACTCTAGAAATCACTAACGGAATTACAATATAAATAGACCAAGCTTTTAGGATCAATGAATAATGTAATGAGTGAAGTCTGTTGCATTTGCATCTATTGCAATTTTTAGGCGGCTTGTTTCCCTGGTTTCAATACAGATTTGGGACAACAGACAAGGCAAGAAGACAGCCGAGAAACTATAGCACATGTCAGACTTGGTAGGGGTGTCTAGAACGGTGTTACCTTGGGTGACAGCACTTTCCACAGAGCTACATGGTTTCGCTCAGGGTTTACATAACTTGCAGTCCCCTCCGTTAAGCAATTTCACTTCAGTTGCATGGAAATGTTTTAAAAGGTCAGATTTCAAAATGACAGTCTACTGAGAACACCTCATTACCCTGGAACTCATTCATTCCCACTTTGACCAGCCTTACAACACAAAGTGTTCATGTGTGAATGTTCCCACTGTATTAAGAAGCACCTACATGTACATGTATATCCTGATTGTGACAAGAATGTCAATAATGGTACAGACATGTCTGGGGTGCTCTTTGGGTAGGATTTCATAAATTTCTCTTTTCAATCAATTTCTCAATTTTGTAACCTCTTTCTACAAGCACTGAATTTGAATAATGATTGTGTGGTATCTGGGTAAATTATGTTTTGAAATACACAGAAGACACTACATCACAACATGAAATCGTATTAATGTAATACTACATTCACCTTGCTTCACCCTAACAGTCCCAAA